AGAGAGAGAGAGAGAGAGAGAGAGAGAGAGAGAGAGAGAGAGAGAGAGAGATTTCCAGCCATGCACACAGAGAGATAGAGAGAGGCTACTTCCATTGATAGGATGAGCAAAATCAGAATGAATCTTCCCACGAGAATATGGAAATATATGCTGCTGTCCAGCCATGCACGCAGAGAGATAGAGAGAGGCTACTTCCATCAATAGGATGAGCAAAAATGGAATGAATCTTCCGCTAGAACATGGAAATATACACTGCCACTTTTTTCTTTTCTTTTGTGTTTGTGTGTCAGAGAGAGAGAGAGAGAGAGACATACCGAGAGAGGGAGAAAGAACAGGTAAGTCTCCATATCTTTTTTGTGTTGTGTGCATTGAATCCGAACACGCTAAAATGCTCAGCTATGAACTTGTATAGGAACATGAGTGGCGTGCCACCCTCAAACACGCTGAAAAAGGCTGCTATAAACATCGCGAATGGAAACAAGGCGCCGCCGCGGAAGATTTGTTCTCCAAGCACAAAACAAAACAGCCCACCAACCAACTGCATGTCGGGCCAGAAGTTCATTTTCCGCCCCTTCCAGACGGTGCCCCGAGGCTGAAAAAAATATGGGCTGATTTGTTTTGGGTGGCCCAGGGCATGAAAAAACGCCTTTGTCCGCCCAAAAAAAAATTGCCCGTTGGCCTGGGGGCCCGCCATCCGGACCGCTTACCGGAAACTGGTATTGGATGCCGGACCCCGGAGAGTCCGGATCCCTTTCCGGGGGTCCGGATCGCAGCTATGCCACTGACCAATAGAAAGGGTAACAGGTAGATATTTGTTATGATTGATATATTTTCTAAGTCCGCCGGTTTCATACCTATGGTAGCTATAACAATAACAGAATTGGTCGTAACTGAATTTGCTAGTCACAGGATGAAAAGATTTTGGATTAGCCAAAACTATATAAGTGATAAGGATATGTGGTTCACAAGTAAACCGTTGCAGGACCTAGCTAAGGACCTAGGATCAGAACTAAAGATGACTTCAGGGAATCAACCTGAAGCGGAAATCACCCTGAAGCTGATGGCCAAGCTGAACAGATGAACGGACAGTGCAGAAGATACTCTGGCATTACATTACCCCTGATCAACTTCATTGGGATATCCCCCCGTATTGGATAGCTGGGCTGTATAATAATACCATACATTCAGCCACAGGTCGATCATCCAACCAACTGCATTCAGGCTGGAACCCCAGGACTCGTTGGATTTTGTGTTTCTAGATCCTAAACACAATCAGCTCATGGAAGTATAGAATCCCCCCTCGAGTACGAACAGATGTAAGGGCCGTGCCACGGCGTGATAGAATGAAGAATTCGGGATAGACTGATGCCTACTTTCCATGTTGGTGATTTAGCTGGGGTAACTTATCTGAGTCTGTGCCTGACATATGAACAAAACTGATGCCGCAGTCGTACGGATGATGGACTGTCCTAGACATTATGGGGGATGATCCTGATGGTCCAGCCTATGTGACTGATGTCCCTCCTCCTCTTTGGACTTACACAGTTTTTCATGCATCCAAGTTCTTGCTTTTTTCGAGAGCGATCAGTTTCCTCCTCGGCTATCTATGCAACCTCCAGCGATGGGCGGTTAAGTTGGCATTGACCGGATTGTGGACCAGGCACAGGAAGACCGCAAAAGCCTCGGTTGCAGTTTCAAGTTTGCTCTTGACATTATGTCCATCCAAGCGAAGACAGGTAGTTCACCAGGGAAGACTTGATTAAATCTGTGCTCCAAGTGGTTTCACACTATGAGTGACTATCAAAGGGATCCAATCGCAAGCAAAAGGGTTCTCAGAGGACTTCTGGACCTAACGGGGTGGGAATGCAAGGCTGCAGGCCTCGCAGGGCCTTAGAAAAGGCTGCCCGAGAAAGTGCAGGTGGGCCCTAGGCCACGCCTGAGAAAATATGTGGCCCCCTGTTAGCAGACCGTGCCAGGTGGTACCCGGCAGGTTGTGTCAGGATACCAGCTGGGCAGGTAAACGGGTTGGGACCTGAGCCAGTAGGGAGGCCGGGGGGAAGAGACACATTGGGCAGTGCGGAGCTATCTAGGGTGAGTGCTGGCAGAGCACAGCAGCAAGTGCCAATGCCAGGAAGTAGAGCGGCAGTGTGGTGGCTGCTCGCACAGCGCTGGGTTTGGCAGGTGCATCACAAAGAGGAGGTGGCAGCTGATCGGGGTAGGTCAGGAAAGAGAGCGGCAATGGGAACTGGTGGATACTTACCTGGTGTTCATCAGACTCTTCAGCAGCATCTGGTGAGAGAAGAATGGAGAGAGAGTGAGACGTAGTAGGCTAGTATGTGCAGGTTGAGTAGGAGACTAGTATAGGGGCAGACACTTCATAGCTAGGGCTATGACTTGGTTGTTGTATTGATTGGTCGTGGTGTGCAGAGTGCTTCCATTGTCAAGAGAATTCAGTGTTTGAGTGTGTACTTGAATAATTTGGATTGGTGTGCTTTAGGGTTTGTCATCCTGCTTTCAACTCAGTTTACTATGCGTGGTCTTCAAGGAGCTCTTGCATCTCGGAAATTTTGTGTTCACAACTTCACAGTTGGTTAATTGAACTTAATTCCAGAAAATTCGTCGTGGTTGAAATGAACTGTGCTGATCTTCATACCTATCATAGCATCGCCTCATCAAAATGGGATTGCTATTGTTTTATGATACTTTATCATCTCTGTCATAGCATGAACTCGGAGAAAGATAGGGTTCAAAGTTCAAACTTTCAAAACTGCTGTGGTAACAGTGGTATATGTTATCCTGCGATAGTCAAGCAGTCGGGCACAATCAGACAAGTTGTTGTTGTTGTTGTCGTTTAACACAATCTGACAATTTTGCTGTGACTCCTTTGTTGGGCCTTTTGACTGTAAACATTCTTGTTGCAGTTCAGAAGTACTTAACGCCTTACTTCTCCCGGCTATTGACAAAAACAAAAACTGGCAGATGTTAGTGCTCTGTTACCACTCCCATAGCAGTGGCATCTACTGTCTAGGTGTGATTCAGGAACAGGGTTAATGCCAACGAAGTTACTCGTTCTCTTGGATAGGCATGATCCGAAAATACATTATTCCTGGAGGCAGTGAATGCCTCTGCAAAGACAGTGAAGGAGTAGCAAAGCTACTGGACGGGTAGCATGCATAGTACGCAACATGGATTTCGGAGGTTTTGATTATGCATGCAAAGAAGGAATTGCAGTTTGATTCTATCGTGCATTTTGCAGGAATATCATGTCCTGGTTGTCTCTTGCATTTTTCTTATTTTTGAGGAAAATATGGGAAGTTTGAGGACAACGAAACATTTTGAACTAAAGAAACATAGGAATACAATACATGCATTGCTAAAAAACAAAAAGGAATATATGAATTGCTTAACCTACTGCTGATGTTCATATTCCGAGCATCTGAATTGCAGTGCAGTTGCAAGGAATTTCACGATGGAGATTACACTGACATCCCATTGTTTCAATCTCTTGAGGTCTGTTTCATAGCTCTACTCTTCTTCCCTCGGGTGTGAAGGGACACATGGCATACTAGGGAGTAAGGGGTGGGAAAGGGGGCAGTCTGGAAGGCCAACGGACCCCCAGGAAGTTCAGGCTTTCTCCCTGAACTTTCACTATGACAGAAAAAAAATTGAAAATTTGATGATTGCATTTACCTTTTCGGCATATTTTTCCTGTTCTTGGCTATGGTTCTCCCCATCCAGCTGGACTCGATCAAAAAGTACTTGAATGGAGGCGGTTCAGTTCTCATCTTCAGTGCTGAAGGTGGCGATACCCGTCTTGGGACAAATCTCAGCAATCTGACTGAGGAGTTCGGAATCTCAATAAACTCTGACTGTGTGGTAAGACACCAGATTGTGCACCACCTATGACTGTCTCTGCATCGACATATCGTCGTGTTGGTGATCATTGGCCTCAGCAACATAAGAAGCTATCTGCCTGATTCAAATGAAAAAGAAAGTAGCAAACCCGACTCTTGGAGCTCATATCAATTCATACTCGCAAAGCTTGAAGAGAGAGAGCACTAGTGTCACATGACAATAAGAAGGAGAGGAGTTGGAAAACGAGAATAGTGCAAGGAACATGAATATGGACGAAGCACAGAAATCCAGAATGCAAAATCACACTGAAGTCCAAGTAGTCAAAGCCAAAGCAGATAGCACATGGAACCGAGTAACCATCCAATTGAGAATGATACAGAAGAATCGTGAGTCAATGTCCATGCCCAATAGGGCAACACCAACAGCATAACCCAAATGTAGCTCTCTCTTGTGA